AGATATTCCAGAGCTTGATAGAGATATCAAGAACTATAACAAACTTTCAAATCAGTGAAGGAGCCAGGTGCGGTATCCCACGATTCAAAGCTACTTTCACCTTTGACCCCATAAAATCCCTAAAAAAGCCTAAATAAAAAAAAATGAAAAACATGTCTGGGCGTATTGGAGCAAGGTATAACCATACTAAGTTTCAAGTCAATCCGCCGAGAAATGAAGGAATGGCGGTTGATTGAAAAGTGTTTGGAAGCTAAAGAGAGAAAGAAAGAAGAAGAAACAATAGAAAAACAGTGTCTCTCTATGGAAACTTAATGACACAACTGAAATATAGTAAAATACAATAAACTCAAAATGGAACTGGGATTAAAATGTAAAATAAAAAAATGCAAATAAAAATATACAACAACCGAAAGCTACAACGTAGTGTTCAAAATAAAAGGAAATGCAACTGGTACTGCATAGAAATGTAAAATTATAATAAATCAAGTAATAAAAACATTTTGAAAAAAATAAGTATGATGTAGAGATGACAATGCCAAAAAGTACAAAAAAGAAACATAGGGATGAATACACAAAATCATATGAAAATCCCTACATAATTAGCAAAATCATTCCAAGTAAAACTTTTATTTACAACTAAATGTTGAATTTCTTTCATTTGCGTGAATTTAGGTTTGAATAAAAGCATTTCAACTGAATAGTGCTATAAGGCCTTACAATGGTTAATTCACATGGGCTTCTGACATTGACGCAGTGGCTACTTGTAAAAGGATTTTTGTATGGTTCTCTATATTCATCACTATCTTGTTTTTTATACTTTTTGGCATTGCTCTACAGCCGAGTCAGAAATGATCGAAGTTTGATTGAGCTTGGTGGAATTATGTAGAATATTATTCCTCATTGTCCTGCCAAAAATGGTCTGTGTCCGTTGACAACGGTGGACATATGGACACATTTTCGTATTTTTTCAGAGCTAAATATGATCAACGCTGCATGGCGGAGGTATGCGCTCTACTGAGTGCCCTTCCAGTTTCTCATGCTTTGTCAGTGCACAATTTTCTTACTGAATGTTTAGGAAGACTGGTATTCCAACCAGATTATTAAGTGTAATCTTGCATAACAACACAACACCAAATATCACAGATTTAAATGGAAAATTGCGAGTTCACCAACATTTACTATAAAACTTAATCTGAGTGCTCTGAAAGCAAGGCAAAGTTATTTCAGCACATTTTTTTCGGAATTCCTACTTATTGATAACAGCTGAACTCAACTGTAACTTCCCCTAAGATTTATATTCAATAAAGTT